TCTCCGGTAGTTTCAGGGACAAATATTTTGATGTCCCACAATGCTTTCTTCTGTGTGCATGACACAATTTAACTTTCCTCCAGGTAGATTTATCAAACAATTTTATTTCTTCAGCAGATGTTTTTCTGTCCAAATGTAAAACGCATGTCCTGGCAGTTCTTTCCGGAATTTTGCTGTATGCCATCATGATATCTCACTACAATCAGTTATCTACCTGAAAATAGAATATTATATTCAGCTCATTGCATTTGCATTTGAAAATTATTATCATTTAGTACATCTAATATACCTTAATAAATGTTGATATACAATATATTCTGAAATACTAGTGTGATGTTGATTCAATGGTGCTCCAAGAAAAGAAACCTCACCTAAAGTGTAAGTTGTCTAGAGGTTGACCACTTTAAATAAAGTATGCAACATGCTTCTAAAATTAATATGTCAGCTAAACTTTTGTCGAATAAAGTTTGCATGTGAAAATATGTCAGTAAAGAAATGTTATAATGCTATCCAAAGATTTGTATAACAAACATACATATGTCTATGCGTTGTCACCTTGGATTGTCAAGATATATGAAATACTGATCATGTCACTATAACAGAATCAATTGAAATATGTCAACAGATAATTATTACATACCGACCGACATCTCCTTGCAACATTAAGATGATATCCGATTTCCACCATATATGCCAGCACAGATCTTCATACAAAATCTTCTTACCTAGCGCTTGCCTTTATGTTTCCCACAGTTTTTTTTTAAAATTTAATTGAGTTAATTTCCATATACAATAAACCCTCAGACCAGATGACAGTTCAATTCACAATTTCTCAGAATGTTTTATTAAGGATTTATATTGATAACCAGACACAAAATAGGCAACCCATCAGTAAAAAATGGTAGCCATCTTGGATTTTGAAGGCAACCCATCAGTAAAAATGGCGGCCATCTTGGATTTTCAAAACCTATATGCATCAATATAAACAACTAAACACATGCTGATAATGAAATTCAATGAAATATGTTATTAAATAACTTATACACACCACGACAGAGCTCATAATAACTATAAACGACAATATGAAAAATTGACATTTTTTGTCAACTTTTTTTTTACGGTACCCAACTTCAAGCTCAATTTTCTAGTCTTAGGTCTACCTATATCCTCATCAGAAATTGATTTTTGAATTCCTGAGGACATTTTCGGTCTAGAATCATTCCTCAGACCATTTGGCGCTTCCAACATAAATAAAACCTATCTGGCTCTTGGACTATATGGATGAAGGCAATGTCGCTCAAACCGACGGACAGTGTGTTCGGTTGTGTAGTCATTCGTCGTCTAGAATACAGTAAAATCTAAGACATAATCTTCAATGAAACACAACTACAGATCAAAATGATCTTGACGCTTTAAAGCGGCGGAGTCGTCACCTGCGCATGTGTCAAATGGCCATAGCTTGTCATATTTACAACAAGCGTCTACCCATGACCTTGCATTTTCAAGCGGGTTGTATCGTCGATTGGGACTCAATTCCCCCTGCGCGTGTGCAGATGACGACCCTCCCGCC